TAACGCCCAAGATGGCCCAAGCTTGCTCTAAGAGAGCCTCGGAGACCCCACAATGACCTCCAAGATAACCCAAGGTGGCTCAATATAGCCTCCGACGTATCTCCAAGAGGTCCCAAAACAGCCCCAAGACGGTTCCAAGGGCCCTCCGAACCGCCCAAGGAAGCCCCCAAGCAGCCACACTCCTTCGAACACAAATTGGAAATTAATGTGTTTCGCGTTCTCGCTGTTTCGTTCCCGATGGGCTCTCCAGACCTCAAGATGGCCCCAAGATGGCTCGAGAGAGCCCCAAGAGGAGCCCAAGACCGCCCCAAGAGCGCCCAAGAGCGCCCCAAGAGCGCCACAAGAATGCCCCAAGAGGGCCCAAACACGCCCGTGTTTAGCCTGCGAGAGGAGGGGGGGCAAATAAAAGCTCCCCCTTATTTGAACCATGGGGCTCAAGACGGCCCCAAGAGGCCTCCCCGAAGGAGCCCCAAGGTCATCACGACAAAGACACAGCACTGAAACGCCTAAGGAAATTCAGCGTGTGTGCGGTCTCGCCTTTTCGCGTCCGATGGACGCCTCACGACTGATCGGGCTGCGAGGTATTGCAGGTTCTTCGCAGGGTCTTTGAAGGGTCGTTGCAGGGTCGTTGCAGGGGTCTTCGCAGGGTCGTTGCAAAGGGGGCGTCCACTAGGCTTCCAAGAAGCTCGCGGAGCGAAAGCTCCCGGACGTCTTCATGGTTGACTCGTCGATGTCGTCGTCGCATTGATCGTCGTCTCCTTCTTCGTTCCCAAACCATGTAATGAGTAATCATTGTCTTCCTTTCTTCCTCCTCCCGTTTTCCATTCATCCCTCCTCCTCCTCCCGTTGCCAAAGATAGCCTCCCCGCCCCGAGAGGTCTTCAAAATAACTCCAAAGGCGACCCCCAAAGACCACAATTAAGCCACCGCGCCATGGGAAGATTCGCTACATATTTCAATCAGCGTTCCCACCGTTTCAGCGCCCCCGAAACACTTTCCACTGTGCCGTTGCATGCTTTTACATGTCCCTGATCAGGGCAACTCGCCTGGCAATCTGATTTTGGATGGGCTGGTGGGGATACTTTTTGGTCGGCGGCTCCGAGGCAACGGACAGGGAGCGGAAGCGGCGTCCGGGTCACGGTACGGGGCTAATTTGCAAGACAATTGCCGCCAGAGTCGGCGGACAAAGCTCGCACCTGCAAGACAAACTCGCAGTTGCACGTGCACAGAACAAAATGAACTAAATTCACAGGGCAATCGCACTTAGGCGCAGCAGCCCGAACCGAAGTGGGCACTGGTGGGGATACGCGGAGCGTCAAGGGTTGATGTACCCCAACTCTGCTTTGTTCGTCGAGTCTACGAATACCAAATAGAATGCTACATAGGGTCGTAGATTCGACAGAAATGAGTGTTGGGGTAAATCGAGTGTATAGTCGATCTCCTGCTCGAAAGAAGGGGAAAACCGCACGAGCATCAACTCTCGGAGGCCCGTGAGGAGGTATTCGATCCCGGCGCCAGGGGCGACCCCAGGGAAGACAGGACAGGACAGGACGCCAGAAAACGTCCCGGACGGCGGCCTTGAGAGAGCGAGGCGGTGCGGCCGAAGCGCAGGAAGCACGCTGGCTCCACGAGATGTCCGAAAAGCGAATGTACAGAGTACAGATCAGCGCATGCACCTTACATCTCAGTCCTGGTCAAAGCCTACCTCAGCGGCGCCTGTAGCTTAGAAGAGCGTCTCAGAGAGACGCGAACTCTCCCAGTGATCACCTCCCTAGCGTAAGCAGAGGAGTCAGCAAGGGAGGAACGAAGAGCCTGAAAAGCGGTGTGTAGGGAGCCGACAGAGTTGTCCAGGAGGAGGACAACGCAGAGCGAGGAAAAAGGGGGGCACTGCCTGCATGATACGTACTGCTCAGCACCGATCCGAGTGAGTCACGTGAACCTCCGAAAATCTATGCTGATGCCGCCCTCTCTTACTCGGCCGCCTGGGCGGACGGGCCCCTCCGTGTTTCGGGGTGGTTGCTGCCTCTGGCGACCCGCGCTCCTGTCCCAGAGGGGATCCCCCAACGGCCCCCCTGTGATGATGAGCAGGTGTTCCACAACCACTACCATCTGTAGGACGGGGGAGAAGGGAGGATGAGGAGGTCCTCCTCCTCATCCTCCTCCTCCACCTCACCTCCTCCTCCTCCTCCTCCTCCTCCTCCTCCTCCTCCTCCTCCTCCTCCTCCTCCTCCTCCTCCTCCTCCTCCTCCTCCTCCTCCTCCCTCATCCTCTCCTCCTCCTCCTCCTCCTCCTCCTCCTCCTCCTCCTCCTCCTCCTCCTCCTCCTCCCTCCTCCTCCTCCTCCTCCTCCTCCTCCTCCTCCTCCTCCTCCTCCTCCTCCTCCTCCTCCTCCTCCTCTCCTCCTCCTCCTCCTCCTCCTCCTCCTCCTCCTCCTCCTCCTCCTCCTCCTCCTCCCTCCTCCTCCTCCTCCTCCTCCTCCTCCTCCTCCTCCTCCTCCTCCTCCCTCCTCGTACCTCTTCTACCTATGGTAGCGGTGGTGGAAAAGGGGCCCATCATGAGACTGCACGGGAGGGGCGGTGGCGGTGGTGGTGGCCACTTCGGGTGCTCCAGATCGTTCAAGAAGCTGTCGATGGCCCCCTCGAAGCCCTTACGCACCTCTCGGGGCCGAGGGACGTGGCAGGTCCATCGGGCAGAGAGGGCACGAGGCGAGGCTGGAGGAGGGTACAGACGTGGAGGCGGAGGACGAGGAAGGGGGAATGAGAGCGAACATGGAGAACGAGGCGGAGGAGGAGGAGGAGGCGCCCAGGGCCACATGTCCGGGTCCGCGACCGCGCTTTCCCGGATCAAGGTCTTCAGGCCGCCCAGCACCGAGCTCCTCATCGGCGCAGACACGTCCAGCAGCTTCGCCTTCGCCAGCTCCCTTCCAAGGTTCGCCCTGCTCATTGCCCACTCCTGCGCGGGAAGACACCAGGGGGCGAGGCGGCTGGCATAATGATGAATCCCCACGCTGCGCTGCCACGCGCGTGAAGTCTCTGAGCGGTGCGCCATCACTGCTTCATTGACTCTGGAGCTGCGCCAACAACCGAAATCGCAGCTCTGTTGCGTACACATCGCTAAGAGCCGCCCCCTCCCACCCCTCGGTGACCCGGTGGTGCGGACGAGTTCGCGTTGAAGCGCCAATGCCCTCGAGCCCACCCCCCTTCCTCGACCTGCGGGGGGAAGGCGAAACCGAACGAAGAGACAACGAGAGAGAAAAGCAAGAAGGAGGAGAGGTACCTGTGACAGTGGAGGAGGGAAGAAGAAGGGGTGCCAAAACGCCGGCGCTGTGTCCCACCCCCTCCTCCTCCTCCTCCTCCTCCTCCTCCTCCTCCTGCTCCTCCTCCTCCTCCTCCTCCTCCTCCTCCTCCTCCTCCTCCTCCTCCTCCTCCTTCCTCCCTCATCCCTCATCTCTCACCCCTCATCCTCATCCTCGTCCTCTTCCTCATCCTCAACATCATCCCTGCACCCTGCGGTCCACGTTAGTGATGTGGGCCTTCCGGAACTTGTCACCCAGCTGCGCCCAGCCCTGCTTCAACCACACGCTGAGCTCGACGGGGCTCTGCGTGCCAGGGGACTTCTCCCTCGGCGTCAGCCCCGCCTCCTCGTCGCCTCGGCAAGGGGGGGAGGGAGGCAACAGAAATGATGAGGGAGGGGGAGGCGAAGGGGAGGAAGGGAAGAGGGGGAAGGGGCAGGGAGGAATATAGGATCACAGAACTGCGCACACCTAAAATGTCGGGACCTCGCGCGGACTTCTCGATTCCGCGCTGGACCACCCTCCCTGGCGCGCGGGGTGGTCCAGCGCAGATCCAACAAATCCGCGCACAGGTCCCAAATTCTATGCTTATGCCGTTTCCCCTCTTCGCCCGGATGCATCGGGGAGACGTAAGACTCGTGTTCGGGGGACTCGGGTTGGCCCGGAGGGGCCGTCAAGAAAATCACGAGGGCCAGTCTGGAGTTTGATTCCTCCCAGAACGTAAATTTGTCCTGCGTGCGACTACAGGGGTCAGGGTTTGGATACTCTCTGCGGCCGTTTATGCTCACGCCTTCCTGGGAAATTGCAGCCTTACCACCCATGGCCTCCCCCACGAGAGGGAACTTGTGAAGCCAGCTTGGGAGGCCAACCCAGAGCTTGTGATGCCGTCGTGGTTCAACCCAGCACAGGCGCGCCGACCCGAGGGCGACGGCGAGGACGGCCGCAAGCCCGCAAGCAGAAGGCGTTGAAGAGCGGCGAAGGCAAGATGGACGCGGGCAAGTACGCCAAGCTCCTGATGCTCGCGGCCCGTCTTCTCTTGGCTACGACACGTGGCATAGCCGACCTCGCAGCGGCGGTGTTCATCACGTTCGAGGTGAGCGCGGTGCAGGGCTTCCCAGCAGCGCTCGTGGCAGCGGGCAGGGCGTACGACGGCAAGAGCAAGGAGCTGGCGGACCGCGCGAAGGCAGGCGAGCAGATCGGCCAGGGTTCGCATCGCGGGCGAGGGCCGTCTCACCTCCAAGTCGCCGTGGCAGGGGTACACTGCATCGAGAAGCAGCTGAGGACGGACGCGGAGGAGTTCGGGATCAACAGGGTGGCCACCAGCAACATCCTGAAGCTGGAAGTCGCAGTGAAGTGCGTCCGCCTCCAGATGCTGAAGAAGATCGAGTCAGACCAGCGCTGCTTGGTCGCCATGGATTTCGATGTGAGTTACCCGATCGGTCAGCAGGGTCAGGACCTCTTCGTGCGTATCCTGGAGACCGAGGCTGCGGAGGGGCGTCACGGCAGCGCCCCACAGGGCCCACTGGAGCGCAAGATATCTTCAGCAGTGAACAGCACTTGATATGGCAAACTAGTAAGAGGTTTGCAGCTTTGGTGGAGGTGTGACTTCATCAGAGGTGGCAGGGCGAGCGCTAGCAGGGAAGCGCAGCATGCTGTCACCGTCTGCACAGGCAGAACGCCAAAGTATCCCAACTGTAGTGCTGGCTCGCCGAGGCTCTGGTCGAGGGAGGGGGGAGGGCGGCGAGTCGGGGGCGGGGGAGGGGATCAAGCACCGACCAGCGAAAGCCAGCAGCAAGAGCAAAGCAACTTACCTGTGCTGTCTACCGTGCAGTCCAAGTCGGCCCTCATCCGAGGGTTGCGTGCCTCAGAGGTGCCGACAGGCCAGTGCCTCACTCCAGGAGGGTGAGCTGCAGACATACTGAAGAAAATTGTCGTGAGGGTCGAAGCTACCCACTCCCAGAGTCCCATGCAAAGCTGGTGCTCGTTCCAGGCAGTGGTGGATTCCATGGGCTTGTCTCGTCTCGTCTCGTCTCGTCTCCTCTCCTCTCCTCCTCCTCCTCCTCCTCCTCCTTTTCCTCCTCCTCCTCCTCCTCCTCCTCCTCCTTCTCCTTCTCCTTTTCCTCCTCCTCCTCCCCTCTCTGCTCCCCCGTCTTTCTCCTCCTGGCGACCACGGCGCGGGCGCCGCGGGGGCGGCCGCGGGAGCACACGCGGCCCGCGCGTCACCGCCCACGGGGGCCGCCCTCGGCCGCCCCCGACGTGCCGGTGGAGATGAAGTAGCGCGCCACCTTCCGGCGGCGCGCACAGGGGGTAAAGGGTGGTAGGGGGGGGAAGGCTTCCTACTTGGACGCCCGAATTGGGTACGGAAAGAATGGGCACAGTGCCCAACAACAAATGTCGTCCCAAGCCAACAGCGGCCGCTGTTGGGCAGGCGGCCTTCTGTCTCGAATGGACACGGGCCGCGGCGGCGTGGACAGCGAACCCTGTTCAAGATGAACAGGAACTGCTGTTGGGCATTGTACCCATTCTTTCCGTACCCACTTCGGGCGTCCAGATCTTAGAAGGAGGCTGCTTCTTCTAAGGCGCCCGCCTTACATCTACAGACAGGGCCCGCGCCTTCGAAGCAGTAGCGCGAGACCTGCTGGCGGCGCGCGCAGGTCGGGGGCGCGCAAACATGGATTGGCAATGCATAGATGTTCGACAAGCGCGCTGCACTACTCGCAGAGTCGCTGCTCGCAAATGGCCTGGAGCTGCCGCAGGGAATGCACAACAAAGTACACAAGGGCAGACGTATGCTTTTTCGGACGTTTGCGAGTAGGCACTTTGCGAGTAGTGGAACGCGCTCGACGAGATTTGGCGCGCGGCCGCTAAGTCCATGGATCGGGGGAGGTGCCCTCCCCAAAATGCGGCAGGTGCCGCCTCGCTCGGCGGCGGAAGTCCATGATTTCCCATGGAAGCGGGACCCGTCGCTTATCCACGCCCCCTTAATCCATGTTTGCGATCGCTGCTTCTTAGGAAGCGCCGGCCTTATATCTATAGACAGGGCCCGCGCCTTCTAAGGAGCAGCGTCCTTCTAAGAAGCCTTACCCCCCCCCTCCCCCTACCCTCGGCGGCCAACCCCGGGGGGAAAGTGAGAGGGGGCAGGCCTTCGCAGAAGACTCGGAAGTCCCTTGACCTTCTGAGAAAATTCGAGGCCCTCCACGCAGAACACAAAACACTTCTCAAAGGCAGGAGGGCTTCTGAAGAGCCTCGCCGCCTTCCGAGAAGGCCTCCTCCTTTCCTGCCATCGCTCGGGCGTCCATTCCCTGGTTCCGTTTCGTGCGAGATGTTTCCCGCGCGATGATCCAAGAGGCTCCTCGGTGGTCCCCGCCGGGGAAAAACGCACACGTCCCGAGCGATGCCGAGATTCCCACTTGCAGCCCCTGCTCGCCGCGGATACCCCCCCTCTGCGCGTGGCAGACACCTGGCCGAGGCAGGCCAGCCGCGAGCTCGCGTCGAACATGCAGCTGCCGCTCCACACCGCCGACAGCGGCCTGCCCGCTGCCCTCGCGACGCCGTGGCACAGGACCAGCTGCGCCCGCCACAGCTCCCCGGCCTCCAGCAGCTCGACGAGGTGCGCGTCGAGCGCCGCCGCCCTCGGCCTGGTGGAGATGTCGAAGAAGTTGATGATGCCGAGAGGAACAAAAAGGGCGGCACACACAAAAACCTTTCGGAGGTCCACGCCGACCTCTCACATCGGCGCTGGGCCCCCTGGCGGCGCCTCCAGCGCCGCCCCTGGCGCGCTCTGCGCGCCAGGGAGGGGTTCCAGCGCCGATCCAGAAAAACCGCGCGGGCCTCTGAAAATGTGTGCTTGTGCCGCTGTTTCTTCCTCGAGATGTTGCAGATGCGGATGCCCACGTCCGAAAAGCCCGCAGCCTCCAGCCTCCTCGCCTCCTGCCCGGCGGTCAGCGCATAATAGAATTGCCGCCCGCCAGTGCCCAGGGGGTAGTCCGCACCGTGCCGCGAGGCACGAATTGGACTGTCGATGCACGGAGAGAGGTTGGCGTTCGGGTGAACTGATCGGCCGCGACCTTTCAAGAACAGAAGGTCACGGCCGTAGGGCCGCGCGCCGTGCCGGCACAAGTCGGAAGGTCCTCTGGCCCTCAGCAGCCCTCAGTGCTTAGGATTGAGCGTACAAGGGGCCTGAACCCCACATTCCTCAAGCTACCAAGGACTCCCGGCGTAGAGGGCTCCACAACGGGCCAGGAGGGCTCCACAACGGGCCAGGAGGGCCCCAGTAGGCCCCCAAGAGGGTCCAAGAGCGCCTACAGTAGCCGAAAGATCGGTCCAAGGCACGGATAGGCCGAAGGCCACTCGATCCGCCGCCCCCTGTGAGCTTGCCATAGGGGTGCACGGCGTGCTGGGTGTTCGGCAACTCGTGGTCATTTTAAACGCTTCTAGTGGGCCTTCGGCCTACCCAACCAGACGGAATAAGGACCCGTAGGCGTCACAGGCCGTCGGTCTTCCCACACCAGACGGCCCCAAGAAGGCCTTCCAGACAGCCAAGATGGTATCCAAGACGGCCACGATGGCTCCAAGAGAATCCAAGGTGGCTTCAAGATGCACCCACGACGGCCCAAGATGGCCTCCGGAGGGTCAAAAGCGGCCCAAGAGGCCCCCAAGAGGCTCCCGAGAGGGCCCAAGAGGCCTACAAGAGATTCTCCAGGAAGGCCCGAAGAGGCCAGAACCATCGATTTCCTGTAGAATGTTGCATGAGTTTTTCATTCGCTTCTTTTTTGCCATCCGACGGCCGCCCAAGTCGGCCCAAGAGGCTCCCAAGATCGCCCAAAAGGCCTCCGAGATGGCTTCCGGATGGCCCAGGAGGCTCCCGAGACGGCCCCAAGGGGGCCTCAAGACGGCCCAGGAGACCTCCAAAACACCCAAGATGGCCTCCAAGACAGCCCTGAAAGGCCCCAAGAAAGACCCCAGCTGGCCCAGGCAGGCTCCAAAGATGGCGTCGGACGGCGTCAGACGGGCCAGAAACTCCTCAGAAGGCCCAAGGAAGCCCCCAAGACGCCTCCAAGAGGCCCCCGGGAGGCTCCTAGGTGGCCCCAGGAGTGCCCAAAGAGGCTCCCAAGACGCCTCCAACTCCTCCTCCTCCTCCTCCTGCTCCTCCTCCTCCTCCTCCTCCTCCTTCTCCTTGCTCTTCCCTCTCATTCTCTTCTTCTTGTTCGTAAACGTAAAAGTATGAATAACAAAACTGTGCTTATCAGTCGTAGAGGTGTTAGTAGTACAGAATTTCTGGTTGGAACTATGAGCCGCCTAATCATTCGTATTACTTGTAATACGATTGATCGTAGCATTATGATTATTACTCTTGTGGATGTGAGGATATTGCTTCTTACGTAGCACCCAACAAACGCGGATCAAATTGAGGGGCCGTGGGTAAGTCGGCAGTCTGTGATACTTTGGAGAAGCCCGCCGCAGGCGCCAAACTTTCATACACTATGCAATGAGCCCGCCGCAGGCGCCGATTTTCCTTTCAACCAATGTGGGTAGGTCGCGGGTGTGTCGCGGGTGTGTCGCGGGTGTGTCGCGGGTGTGTCGCGGGGTGGGTCGCGGGTCGGTCGCAAGTGGGTCGCGGGTGGGTGGCGGGTGGGTCGCGGATGGGTCGCGGGGTGGGTCGCGGGTGGGTCGCGGGGTGGGTCGCGGGTGGGTCGCGGGTGGGTCGCGGGTGGGTCGCGGGGTGGGTCGCGGTGGGTCGCGTGTTGGGTCGCGGGTGGGTCGCGGGGTTGGTCGCGGGGTGGGTCGCAGGGTGGGTCGCGGGGTGGGTCGCGGGTGGGTCGCGGGGGGGACGACGATGACAACAAACAACAACAACAACAACAACAACAACAACAACAACAACAACAACAACAACAACAGCAGCAGCAACGACAACAACAACAACAAACAACAACAAACAGCAACAACAACAACAATCACTTTACCCTCACGCGCAGTGTTTCCACACGAAGCATGCGACCATCATGATAACCATCCCCACCATGTGGGATTATTGTTCTATACCGGGGTCCGTTATTTCCATTCCCAGATCTCCCGCCGAATGAGGCCTTGCAAACACCTCCTCCGAGGAACTTCAACATATCCCGCCTCGAAAGCACATGCCCGCGCTTTGCTGCGCCGGTGCGAGACCGCCAGTGGAGCCCCAGCCAAGGGTAAAGCACAAGGAAATATCGAGCGACAGGATTGCCTCGGTGGGGATAGGGGCTGTCGGCGGCGAGGCAAGGACCTCGCCCTGAATAGAAAGGGAGGAAGTCTCGACCAGGGCCGCTGCTGTTGCTGGGAGCGGCGCCAATGCTGAAGAGAGTAGGACGCTAGCCCAGCATAAAACAAAACGACGTCTCAATCGGGAACGCTGGTTTTGTTGGGACGGCGGTTGTCGGCGGCGAGGAGAAACACCGCCTTGAGTAAGAAGGGAGGAAATCTCGAGCGGGAGCGGTGGTTTTGTCGGAACGGGGGCTGTCTGCGGCGAGGAACAGCACCGTCCTTAGGAAAAAGGGATGAAGCCTCGAGCGGGAGCGCTGTTCTTGCTGGGAGCGGCGCCAATTCAAAAGAGATTATCCAGCGTAAAACGGGAGGAAGTCTCGGGCGGGAGCGGTGGTTTTGTCGGGACGGCGGTTTTCGGCGGCGAGGAGGAGCACCGACTTGAGTAGAAAAGGGAGGAGGCCTCGAGCGGGAGCGTTGTTGTTGCTGGGGGCGGCGCCGACGAGAGAAAGAGTAGCGCGCCAGTCCAAGGTAAACGGGAGGAAGTCTCGAGCGGTAGCGCTGGTTCTGTTGGGACGGCGACTTTCGGCGGCGAGGAGGAGCACCTGCCCTGAGCAAAAAAGGAGGAAGCCTCGAGCGGGAGCGTTGTTGTTGTTGGGGGGCCGGCTTGGACGCCCCCCCAAACCGCTCGAGCGTGAGCCTCATTTTCAATGAAAATGTAGCAGGCGCCGAGGCGAGAGCGTCAAAGCGCCTGGGGGGGTCCAACAATAATGATTGTTTAATAATTAACATTCAACAGAGAAAAAAAGAACAACAACAAAAAAACGACAACGGAACAAGCATAACCCTCACCGCGGATCCCCACTTCAGCCACGCACCCAGAGACAATGAATGACCGATCAGCCCCGAATGAATAACCGTTCAATGAGTGAATACGAATCTGATTAATATTGTTTCTCAGCATTGCTATGAAGACTACTAGTCTGATTCGTATTGTTAGTAGTCGTATGCTCACTACTTATCAAAATAAAACGATTATTAGTATTACTATTAATATTCGTCTTCTTAATAGTATAAAAAGCATTCGTAGTCGTACTATTGTTATCTCGCCCATGTGTTCCCCGAAAGGCTTCCACAACAGCGTGGGGAAGCACATTGTCCGATATCTTGGCCAAACTCTGGCCGCAACGCTCGGCCACATCGGCGCTTCCGAAAAGGCAGGGGGCGGCGGTGAGTCGCTTCGATCCGCAGCCCCCTGTTGGCTTGCCACAGAGGTGCATGGCGTGGTAAAGTTTAGGTAGTTCCTGACACATGTTAAAAATTCACATTGGGCTTTCGGCCGATCCGGCCAGCAACCAGGAAGGATGCGCAGCTTCCGCCTCCGTCGGCCTTTTCTGTCCCGTAAGGACCAGTACAAATCCCAGGTCGTCGGTCTTCCCGCTCCAGACGGTCCCAATAAGGCCTCCAAGACGGCCAAGATGGTCTCCAAGACGGCTACGATGGCCCCGATAGAACCCAAAGTGGCCTCAAGATGTCTCCAAGACGGGCCGAGATGCCCCCAAGATGGCCCAAGATGCCCTCAAGATCGCCCAAGACTGCCAAGAAGCCTCCAAGACAGCCCAGGAGGCCTCCAAGAGGACCTCCAGCAAGGCCCGAGAAGGCCAGGATCATTGATCCTCCGTTCGAAATTGTCTGTTTCCACATTGTCTGCCATCCGACGGCCAAAGACAGCCCCAGAGGCAACCAAAATGGGCCCAAGAGCGCCCAATAGGCCTCCGAGATGGCCCCCTGGCGGCCCAAGAAGTCCCCAAGACCACCCCAAGATGCTCCCAAGACGACAAGACGAACCAGGAGAACTCCAAGACGCCCAAAATGGCTTCCAAGACGGTCCTGAAGCGTCCCAAGGATGCCCCAAATCGGCCCAGAGAGGACCCCGAGATGGTTTCGGGACGGCTTCAGACGGGCCAGGGAAGCCCTCAGACAGCCAAAGAGGCGTCCAAGGAGCCTTCAAAGGCCCCGAAGAGGTCCAAGGAGGCCTGCAAGAGGCTTCCAAGACGCCCCCAGGAATCTCCCAGGTGGCCCTGAGAGTGCCCCAAGAGGCCTCCTCCTCATCCTTCGTCCGCCCTCGCCTCCTTGTCCTCTCCTTCTTCTCTTTCCCACGTGTTCTCCGGAGGGCTTCCACAAGGACTGGGGCAGCACATTGTCCGATAGCTTGGCCAAGCTCTGGTCGCAACGTTCGGCCACATAGGCGATTCCGAAAAAGGCAGGGGGTAAAGGTGATCCGCCGTAGGCGTGTTCGATCCGCCGCCCCCTGTCGGCTTGCCACAGGAGTGCACGGCGTGCCTAATTTTGGGTAGTTCGCTGTACAATCAAAAGGTTCACAGTGGGCCTTCTGTTCCTCCCTCTCCGCCTCATTTCTCTTCTTCTCCCCAGTTTTCCCCACGGGGTTCCACGACGGCTGGGGAGAACAAATAATCAAACAGCTTGGCCAGACTTCGGCCCAGAGCTTGACTGACTGCATGAGAGCTTCAAACAGACAGAGGGGGCGGCGGTGATTCGCCGTCGGCGTCTTCGATCCGCCGCCCCCTGTGTTTGCCACAGGGATTCACGGTGTGCCAGATGTCTGACTGGATCTAGTCCTTCTTCAAATTCCTAAAAGGCCTTCGGCACGACCCGCCGGTGCGGAACGGAGACCCGTAGACGTCCGAGGTCGTCTGCTTCCCCGCTCCAGACGGCCCCAAGATGGCCTCCAGGTCGGCCACACAGGCGCTCCCAGAAGGGCAGGGGGCGGCGCTGACTCGTCGCAGGCGTCTTCGATAGTAGGAGCCCGGGAAGGTGGCGAGGCCGATCCTGGGCTGCAGCCACGCGCGCAGCTCGGGGCTCGCCGCGGCGCGGTAGGCCCTGCGCCGCTGCTCGAACTCCCGCTGGAAAGCCACGTGGTTGTTGGTGCTGGAGGCCACGTTCATGATGGCTTATGCTGCATAGTCGAGGGGCCTTGCCAGTCCCACAAACTCTAGACTGCTGTCGTGTTGAATGTGGTCGCCACGGGCTCTGCGCGGTTTCGGCGCAGATCCGGTATGGATTCAACGCGGACTCGGCATGGATTCGACGTTCGACGTGGACTCGGCAAACATTCGACGCGGAAAGCCTCGCGATAGGGCTGGAGGCCACGTTGATGATGGCTCATGCTGCGTGTTCGCAGGCATTTTCGTTTGTCCGCGTTTGTCGAATCCACGTCGAATGTCGAACCCATGTCGAATCTGCGCCATGTCAAATCTGCGTCAAATCCGCGTAGAGCCCCTGTCGGCCACAACAACCTTTCTAGGACAAACAAGGTCTGCCGAAGATGCGACGTAAGATGGCGTGGCCCATCTGGGCGAACAGCTCCAGTAGCCCCGCAGGGCTGATGCCCGGGAGCCTCGGTACGGAGGACAGGGTCCCCCAGCCAACCTAGAGAATACAAGAAACGGCACAATCATAAACATAACTGTCGGAAGTCCGAGCGGATTTCTTGGATCGGCGCTGGACTCGACCCCCTCCTTGGCGCGCTCCGCGCGCCAGAGGCGGCGCCAGAGGCGCCGCCAGGGCGGACCCCGAGCGCCAATGTGAGAAATCCGCACGGATCTCCGAAATTTTCTTCTCCGACGAGCATCGTTTATCCCTCATCCCCAACGGCGTGGCCTGAGCCCCACGGGCCCATTTCCCCTCCTATATGGGAATACAAACAGTTCCCTGCGGGTCTCGAGGGGTATGTCCCCAACTGGGGTGCTGAGATGGTGGGGGTCGGGAGGGGGATGGGGATGGGGGTCTGTGAAACGATCCTGACTCGAGTCTGGAGGGCAGGGTCTCAGCCAACCACGACGAGGTCGAACACCGGCCCCGCTTTCAGCAGTGACTCGCGCACGGCGCCCAGCTCGGCCGCCCCGTCCCCGAGGACGAAGTGCACGGACAGCGCCCCCAGCGCCAGGACGTCCGGGCCCGAGCCCGCCCCGCCGACGCGTCGCAGGCCCGCCTCCTCGGCGCGGCTGCGAAACGCCCGCAGGGCCTCGGTGGAGACGTCTGGAAGACGGACAAGCGGCACGAGCACACCCCTCGAAGCTCCGCGCGGACTTCCTGGCTCGGCGCTGGGCCGGAGCTCCGCGCGACGGGCCCAGCGCCGAGGCGAGAAGTCCACGACGAGCTCTCCCGGGGGTGCGCCCCGGCCAGAACTTCGAGACGAATCCGGCCGTGGCGAGGAGGGCCTCCCGGGAGGCCGACGAGGGCCTGCCAGGAGGCCCACGAGGGCGGAGACGAGGCCCGGCGCGGCGAGGTCGGTGCACCCTCTTCTGCTCCTCCCCCCCGAGGGCCTCCGTGGAGATGTCGTAGGCCACCACCCGCAGCGAGGCGCCCAGCGCCTCGCGGAGGGCGCCCGCGACAGGGGGCACGCGTCGACTACCATCCCCGACGTCTGTGGGGGTTTCGGGCGCAGGAACTCGCCATCGCTCGGACGTCCATTTCCCGTGCATTTTTCGGTTTCGTGCGTGTTTTTGTTGCTCGATGGTCCAGGATGGTCCTCGATGGTTCTCGCCGAGAAAAAACGCACACGTCCAAGCGATGCCAAGGGAAGCAGGAGGCAGGAGTCGGGGGCGCGCAAGCATGCATGAGCGATCCATGGATCCGGCGCGCGGTCGCCAGATCCATGGATCGGGGGAGGTGCCCTCTCCAAAAGGCGGCCGGCGGCGCCTCGCTCGGCGGCGGCCATCAGCGATGTCCTATGGAAGCGGGACCCGTCGCTGATCCACGCCCCCTTGAGGAGGAGGAGGAGGAGGAGGAGGAGGAGGAGGAGGACGAGGAGGAGGTTGATCCATGTCTGCGATCGCCTGAAGGAGGCAGGAAGCGCTGCGGGGGGGGGGGGTCCCGCGCCCGTGCCTAGGGAGGCGTCGGGCTCGCCAGCCTCGGGGAACAACAACGAACCTTCCCAGCGCTTGCGGGGGCGCCCGATTAGTCGTGCACCGTGGGGGGTCCCAGTCTGCCAGGATCTGCCTCCTCCTCCTCCTCCTGCTCCTGCTCCTGCTCCTCCTCCTCCTCCTCCTCCTCCTCCTCCTCCTCCTCCTCCTCCTTCGAGGAGACCGAACATTTGGGGCCCAAGTCCGGGATATTCAATGGGGGGGCGCGCGTCCTCGATAGGAGTGCGTCCAGACAGCCCCCCTGGGCCTCTGGGGAGGGGGGGGGGCATCCCCGAGCGCCCCCCCTTTTTCAGCGGCGCGCACCGGGGGGTGGAGGGAGGGGGGAGGGCTTCTTAGACGGAGGCTGCCTCTTAAAGGCGCCAGCCTTACACCTTACACCTATAGATAAAGCCCGCGCCTTCTGAGAAACGTGGGCGCTGCTACTAAGAAGTCGTCCCCGCTCCCCCCGCATCCCCCAGTCTGCCCGTGGCTGACCTTCTCTGAGCGGCCTGACTTTGCGTGGATTTGAATCGGGGGCCGGAGGCGAGAGGTCGCCCGCGAGCCCGCGGCGCGCGAGTGCCCGCAGGTCACGCGCATGCCCCGTCGCCAAAACACCGAAACCAGCCGAGTCCTGGTTGCGGCCGACGTGAGCGTCAAGGACGACCAAATGTTACCAGCCTCGAACTTATCCCTATCCCTAAGATTGACACGCCAAAAGGCAATGACAATCCTAGGGATTCGCCATCCAAAAATAAGGGAATCCCTAAGATTTGCATCGTGATGAGGAGATGCCCAGCCTAGGGATAGGGATATGTTCCAGGCTGGATAAAGTGGACCACAGCCACAACACCGAGGTGCTCGTGCCGAGGTCGGCGGGTCCTCCCCCGAGAGGGGCCCATCCGCCCACCCCAGTAAAAATCCGCTTCTTGCCATCGCTCGGACGCCCAGTCCCCCGTCCACGAGTCCGTCTCGTGCGCTTGTGTTTTGCTGTTTGTCCGCAAGGGTATCCAAGACGCTCCTCGATGGTCCTCGCCGGGAGAGCATGCACGTCCGAGGGGTGCCAAGACTTGATCGCCTCAGGCCTTCAGCAACCCCGCCCCAAGAAACGTGATGGGGGCATGAGGATCCCTGATGATGATGATGATGATGATGATGATGATGATGATGACGATGACGATCACGATGACGATGATGATGGTGGTGATGATGATGATGATGACGATGACGATGACGATGACGATGACGATGATGATGATGATGATGATGATGATGATGATGATGATGATGATGATGGTGGTGATGATGCTGATGATGATGATGATGATTCTGATGATGCTGATGAGGAGGAGGAGGATAAGGATGAGGATGAGGATGATGATGATGAGGATGCTGATGATGATGATGAGGATGATGATGATGATGATGCTGATGATGATGATGATGATGATGATGATGATGATGATGATGATGATGATGATGATGATGATGATGATGATGATGATGATGATGATGATGATGATGACGATGATGATGATGATGATGATGATGATGATGATGATGATGATGATGATGATGATGATGATGATGATGATGATGATGATGATGATGCTGATGATCATGTTGTCGATGATGCTGGGGGGAAGGACGAGGAGGGGAAGGACGAGCTCAGTTGTCAGCCGAGAGCTGAAGTGGGGGGCCCCTGAACATTGAAGACCTTCCGAGGTCAGTGGTGGTTGTGGCTCTGTCGTGTGGCCAGGCCACCGCCTCGCGCAGGGCGCCCGCGACCCGCAGGTACAGCGGCAAGTAGCGGCCGTCGCCGCAGCCGAAGTCCAGCACCCGGAGCTCCGAGCCGCGGCCCCGGTGCGGCAGCCTGCGCGCCTCCCTGGGCGGGGGGGAGCAAGAAGAGGTGCGCCTGCCCCGCCCGCACGACACAGCGACGCGACCCGAGCATCGGGCCGCATCGGGTCCTCGGAATCGGAACCAGATCGGGGCGGCCAGAATCGGCGTTCCAGTCGGATCGGTCGGCGTTGCTCGGGAGCGGAGGACGTAGCTATATTCAGGCCCTCGCGGTCTGGATTCTTGGGGGAACCACAGGGTGCCGATACCGCTGCTCCCTGGACCTCTCCCGGGGCGCGTTCCGACCAGGACTTCGAGGCGCATCCAGCGGTGGCGACGAGTGGAGTGCTCCCCGAGGAGGTCCCGAAAGCAGAGAACGGGGGAGGGGCCGCGGTGTGGCCACCTGCTCCTCCTCTGAATCCTGGCGCGCCATCCCGCGGGTGCGCGGCCCCGCCAGATGCGCGCCCGCCCCGCCCGCCTGGGACGCTGCCGCGCCGCCTCTGCTGGGGGCTGGAGCGCGAGAGGCCCCGCGGGGCTGGCCGAGGCCTTGCCGGGCCTGGCCGGCCCCGTTCGCATCGCGAGAAAAAGCAGCACGAGGAGCGGCTGCGGGTCGTCTTCGGCCCCCGGGAGTCCTCGCGGGGCCCAGGGGACCTCCACGCCTGGCCCTCGCTGGGTGCGCCTGCCCCACCAGCCTGGCACGCGCGGCGAGCGCGCATCCATGGCCAGGGCCTCTCGGCCTGGATTCTGGGGCGCGGTCCCACGGATGCGGACTCGCACGGGTACACTCTTTTGATTCGCGGGTCGAGAGCGCACCTCTTCCGGTCGAAGCTGAGCGGACCGCGCAGAGCTTGAACTACGCAGAGAAGGGGGCGACTCGCACGGATGCACTCCACGCGGGGCATCTGCGAAAAAGCACCCCGGATCCGCGGGGTCGCGGCCCAGGGGCCCGGTCCGCGAGGCCGTGGATACGGATTTGTTTTTGTCCCAACCCTCCTGCGTTGGGTTCTCGTTGTAACGCAACTCCTTCCTTCCCGCCACCCTCCTCCTCTCCCATCCTACCAGCCTGTTACCCTGCCTCCTACCCTGCCTCCAACCTCGCCGTCCTACCTTGCCGTCCTGCCTGGAGGCTCCATGGGGGGCTGCGATCTGCAAAACGTCGCCACGATCGAGGGCTGCGGGGGGTCCTGCAGAAAAAAGTCTTACCCGGATGTCAGAATGGACCTCGCCATCAATGGGGGGGCTGTGCTATACGAGACTGTCGTCATTCTCGAAGGCTGCTGGGGGGTCCAGCGGAGTGACATTTTACCAGTGATTCAGATTAGACTTCGCCATCCCTGGGGGGCTGCGATCTGCAAAACGTCTCCACGTTCGAGGGCTGCTTGGGGGTCCCGCAGAAAAAAGTCTTACCCAGATGTCAGAACGGACCTCGCCATCAATGGGGGGGCTGTGCTATGCGAGACTGTCGTCATTCTCGAAGGCTGCTGGGGGGCCCAGCGGAGTGACATGTTACCAGTGATATAGTTCAGACTTCGCCATCCCTGGGGGGCGGCGATCTCCGAAACATAGGTACTTTCGAAGGTTGCTCGGGAACCCGGCGGACCGACGTCTGAACTGGGAATCATATTAGAACTCGCGATCCCTGGGAGGGGCTGGGATCTGCGAAACGATCGCCGATTTCCAAGGCTGCTGGGGTTTCTAAAGGAGTGACGTCGTATCTGGGATTCATATTCGATCTCGCCATCCCTGGGGGCTGCGATCTACGAAACGTCGCCACTTTCGAGGGCTGCTCGGGGTCCAGCGGAGTGAAATCTTACCAGTCAGATTACACCTTACCGTCCCTGGGGGAGTGCGATCTGTCAAACTGTCTCCACTTTCGGCGGATGCCGGGGGTCCAGTAGAGAACGACTTACAAGGGATCCAGCTGAGACCTCGCCATCCCTGGGGGGGTGCGGCCTGCGAATCTTCGCAAGTGTGGAGGGCCGCTGGGGGGGCCCAACGGAGTGTCATGGGGAATCTAGATCTCGGGCTGCGATCTGCGAAACTGTGACCGATTTCGAGGGTTGCTGGGTGGTCCAGCGGACTAACGTCTTATCTGGGATTCAGACTCGACCTCGCCATCCCTGGGGGGCTGCGATCAGCGAAGCGTCGCCACTTTCGAGGGCCGCTGGGAAGTCCCGCGGAGTAGTTTTACCTAGCATTCTGATTGGATCTCGTCCTCCCTGGGGGGTCTGCGATCTGTCAAGTTGTTCTCCACGGGCTGCTGGGGGGTCCAGCGGAGAAACGTCTAACCAAGGAGATTCAGACTGGACCTCGTCACCCCTGGGGGGCTGCCATCTGCGCAACCGCGCAACCGTCACCACATTCGGGGGCTGCTCGGGGTCCAGCGGAATGACGTCTTACCCGAGATTCAGACTAGAGCCCGCCATCCTAGGGGGGCTGCGATCTACGGAACCGTCGCCAATTTCGAGGGCTGCTGGGGGTCAGCATAGTGGCGTCCAACGCTCAGTCAGATTAGCCTTGCTTTCCTTTCCCGCAGGCCGCCCGAAGACCTGGCGGCGCGCCTGCAGGCGTTTAGCTCCCGCACTGCAAAGTGCAGCAAGGTGCAGCAAGCTGCCTCTTACGTTATCGTCCTCTTCCTCATTTCACCGTCTCGCTGCTGCTGTCGCGATATCTGTTCGTCCCCTCTTCCGTCCTTTTCCTGCCCCCCGTTCCAACCCCACTTCCTCTTCGAGCCTGGAACCTCAATCCTCCTCCGTCTGTAGCTGTCGGGTGAGTCGTGCAACGCGCGGGCTTACCATATAGCTTGCACAACCAATGGCCAATCCGGTGGTGTCATCAGCCAGACCAGTCTGGACCACCTCGTCGTGCCACCTAATGCAGATTGGCGAAGTACGTCACACGGCAATTCGCCCACGAGCCTGGGTGAGGAGGCAATTCAGATCGCAGGGTACCGATACCACTGGTCGTCTTGGAGATCTCTCGTCGCCACGGCTGGATTCTCTCGAAATCCTAGACAGAACGCGCCCCGGGAGAGGTCTGGGGAGTAGAGGTATCGATACCTTTTTGTTTCCCTGCAGCTGATGGGATGTCTTCCTGCAAACGAATCAGGAAAACTAAAGATGGCTATTGAGCCAGATTGGCCCAGGTTGAGCTCAGGACACAGCAGGATTAAGTTGGATTGGGCTGGATTCAACGGGATTAGGCCGGGTTAGGCGGTTTTCTCTCACGGATATGCACGCGCCGATGCTGAATTGACCCCCCCTGGAGTTGCATCCTATCTGGGAGGAAGGGGCGAAAGGGGCGGTGTAGTTAGAGAAAGAAAAAGCCTGAGCTGGATCGAATTGCGACTTCGGACCGGGATCGGAAACGGATCGGGGTCGCCAGCGAATCGCCCCGAGTCGGATCGAAACCAGATCGCCGCGCCTGGTCCCGGCCGTTGCTGGTGAGCCGAACCGAATCGAATCGACTCGGAACTGTGGCCCCCTCCGGCGAACCGGATCGCATCGAATTGGGTCGTGGGCGGACCTGGAAGGGGGAACCTCGGCCACCCGAATTGGCCCTGCGCGCCGCGCTGGAGCGCGCCGTCCTCGCGCTGTCGCCCTGGCCCCCTGGCGACCAAAGAGCGCCTCCCTCTCACGGCCCAGAGCCACGAGGGGCGAGGCGCGACGAAACTTCGCGCCCCATGCGCGCCACCTCTGGCAGGACGCGGGGGAGGCGGATCGCGGTGCAGGTGCGCCAGTTGTTGCTGCCCGCTGGAGGCCAGGAGCTCGAACGCCCGAGCTTCCGTCGGCATGGCGTCGTGGACCGCCTCCACGCCCGTCGCGTCCCGCTTGCCGAACGCCTCGGCCTGCGCGTCTGGATTCGCGGCCTCGCCCAGCTTCTCCCGCGCCCTCCTGTAGCGGTCGTCGTACGTCGACACCTGGGCGGCCACTGCCTCCTCTGACGAATAGACAACATATATATATATATATATATAGTTATATATATATATATATAGATCCACAGGGGGGACGGAGGGAGCTATGGATGTGTGTTGTCGGACGGGGGTCCCCGCTCGAACGGGATGCCCCCCTTGGGGTCCGACAGCCCGCACCCATACCCATATCCAGTCCTCCTCCCTCCGACACTGGGTATGAGTCCGTGTGATGTCCGATCGCCCTCCTCGAGCATGTGCGCCGGCAGGTCCACTCCCTGAGTTACGCTGGTGCTGTCCAGCGCCTGCTCCAGCACCGCGCCCGTCGCGCCCCCCCACTCATGCGGCGGCCACGCGGCGGGCTCCAGCCGCCGCCGGCGCGCCTCCTCCTCGGCCAGGCGCGAGATCTCGTCGAGGACCTCCGCCGAGAGCCTGTCGCCCAGGTGGTTGACCACGACGCGGAGGTCGGGAGCCGTTATGAGACCCGTCGCACCGGGGGCGAAAAGACCGAACGCGGCACCGCTCCCTTCCGCGCCAGCGCAGGGGGGGAACTCGTTGGCAACGATGGACGCGAAGGCGTTGGCGCTGACCCGCGCATCCTTAAGCAGGCCCAGCGCCTCGCTTCTGGACGCGTCCAACCCGAGTGACCTGGGGGAGCAAAGCAACTCCCTGGGCCTCTCCTCGGGGTGCGCTCTGGCTAGGATCCCGAAGCAAAGTCAGCCGTGGAGGCGTATTCTCCAGGACGAGTAGCGGCGTCGACATTTTCCCAGGAGGCAGCTCCTGGGACCTCTTTGCAAGAACGGTTGAAAGCTGATGCCAGCCGGCGTGGACCCCAAGCACTGTGTTTCTAGCGGCATATGTTGTGCAATCTATGTGGAGCACTGCACTTGCCGAACTTGAAATTGTCAACTCCACTGCTCGCGCAATCATCCCACCCACCCACCCGCAACTTGGTTTGCAAAATCTCTTAAGACCGTGACGGTGGGTACCAAATGGCACTTGGCAACGACAGCGACGCCGACGACGACAGCGACAACGACGACGACGACGACGACGACGCCGACGACAACAACTACGACGATACCGACAACGTCTCCAACGACTTCGACGACGCCGGCAACGACGACGACGACGACGACGACAACGACGACGACAACGACGACGACGCCGACGTCGACGACGACGACGACGACGACGACGACGCCGACGCCAACGACGACGACGACGACGACGATGACGACGCCGACGACGACGCCGACGACGACGACGCCGACGCCGACGACGGCGACGACGACGATGAAAACGACGACGACGACGATGACGACGCCGACGACGACGACAACGACAACACCGAAGACGACGACGACGACGTCAACGACGCCGACGACGACGACGACGACAACGACGACGACGCCGACGTCGACGACGACGAAGACGACGACGACGCTGACGCCGACGACGACGACGACGACGTCGCCAACGCAGACGACGACGAGGGAGGAGGGAGGACGACGACGGCGACAACGACGACAACGACGACAACGACGACAACGACGAGGGAGGAGGAAGACGGCGACGACGCGAACGACGAAGAAGGAGGAAGGACGGCGACGCCGACGACGACTACGACGAGGGAGGAGGGAAGACGACGACGACGACGACGACGACGACGACGACGACGACGGCGACGAAATAGGAGGGACGACGACGAGACGCCGACGACGGACGACGACGACGACGAGGGAGGAGGAGCAAGGACGACCACGGCGACAACGACGACGGAAACGACCACGACGCCAAAGAGGACGACGACGACGACGAACACGACGAAAAACAGAGGACGACGTAGGCGACGACGACGACGACGCGGGACGACGACGACGACGACGACGACGACGCAAGAGCACGCGCGCTCGCTTTTGTTGAAAATCCGTGTTGCGAAACCTTGTGTTGTTGTAGGTTTTTTGGACACACGATTTTGAAATCCTTCCGGAACCGATGCGCTTTGAAGGATTTCGGCATACGCGCGCGACGACGCGCGCGTCTGCACTTCGTCCCATTTGTTGCAGAGGATTCTCGCGACGGCACACGCGCAAGGGCGCTCGACAGATTTCGACATGCGCGCGCGCGAAGCCCGTTTGGTAGCATTTTGTGAAATGGTTTTCTGAAGATTTCGCAAGAGCTCGCGCGTAAGCTTTTTTAGCAAATCAGTGTTGCGAAACCCTGTGTGCTTGTATGTCTTTTGGAAGCTCGATTGCGAAATCCTTCTGGCACCGAAGGTTGTTGAAGGATTTCGGCATGCGCGCGCGACGACGCGCGCGTGCGCACTTCGTCCCCTTTGTTGCAAGGGATTCGTGAAAAATGCTATGTTTGAACAAAAAATGTCACCGCATAGTGTTTTTTTACGCAAAGAACCTCAGGGGGGGAACCTGGCTGGCCTGGGACATTGCGATTTCATACTTAGGATGGACATGTGGTCAGAATCAGATGTGACTTACATAGGACGCGGGGGTAGTGATAACACCGGGGGGGTAGAGTCGATTCTGCTTTTAGAAAGGAGAATATACGTAGTGGGATCGATGTGGTCCAAAGTACGTCATGCAATGTACGTCGTGCAATAGATGTTGTGCGATACGTGTGTAATAAATGTAATGCAGTGTACGTGGTGCAATATATGGTGTTCAATTTGTGTGAAGCGAAACGATGAGAGAAAAAAAAAAAAACAAAAAAAAAAAAAAAAAAAAAAAAACTGAATAATGAACCCAGGGTCTGAAAAGTCGGTGGAACGCCAATTGAGGCTTGGCCATGGATGGCACCGCCACCCTCGTCACATAAAAAATCCTCGAACGTTTGCAACCTGCTGGGCTGATTCCTAAACGAACGCCCCCACCGTGCATGTGGAGCACTATATGTGGTGCGTTCTACACTGTGCACTCTACGGTGTGCGGTATACCCGGTGCAATCCATATGGTAAAACCTACGTGGTTCAACATATGTCCTGCAATCTACGTGGTGGAGGTCATGTTGTACAATCTATGTGGTGCAATCGGCGTGGTGCAAACTATTTGGCGCAAGTGGTGTGGATCAGTCACTGTGGAGCATTCAACGCATCCCACCCACCCGCCCGCAACTTGGCTTGCAGAGCCCATGCGGCGGCGATTGCGATAAGTACTTGGCTTGGAATTGGCTGGTGCGTCTCTGCGGCCACGCTGGCCCGCGCATGCTCGCGCGCGCAGCGGGCGCGGCCGCGGTGGCGCTGACCGCTGGGCACTTCCCAAAGGGCACTTAGTGCGAGTCGGCGACTTGGGCGGGCGCGGTATCATGGCAACGTCGACAACGGTAGACGCGATGATGATGGTAGCGATGCTGGTGACGATGGTGTCAACGACGACGGCAAGGCCAGTAACGCCGCCGATGCTGATCACGCCGACGACGATGACGGCGTCCTCGCGTCGGCGATGAAGGTGTTGGAGGGAGTTCGACATGCGCGCGCGGCCGACGCGCGAGAGTGGCCCGTGATTTGGCCTGGATCGTGCACCCCCAAGCACGCGCGCAAGAGCGTTCGAATGATTCCGACGTTCGGTGCGAAAGGCCTGTTTGGCAAAATTGAACAAACATGTTGAGAAACGCTTGGTTATCTTAAGAGCGCGAGCGCAGGCAGTTTTGCAAACTGACGTTGCAAAGCCATGATTTCTGCGTTTCGAGGCATTCGAATGTGAAGTCCTTACGGCAACCACCGTTTTTGAAGGATTCCAGCATGCGCGCGCGACATCGCGCGCGCGTGCACTTCGTCCTTTTTTCAGCAAGGGATTCTTGCGAAACCTCGCGCGCAAGGGCGCTCGAGCGATTCCGACATGCGAGCGCGAGAGACCCGTTTGACAGCAAGCTAAGGGATGTTAAAAGAAACGATGGTGCTCTTAAGAATTCGCAAGGGCCCGAGCGCACGTTGTTTCTTTGATTCTTTGTTGCGAAACTATGTGTTTTATGTTTTCGAGGTACTCACTTTGGAATTCCTTGCGAAACCTACCGTTTGTGGAGGATTTCGGCATGCTTGCGCGACGACGCGCGCGCGCGCACTTCGACACATTTGTTGCAAGGGATGGTTGGAAACTGACGATGTTTGATGAACGAGTGCGCGCGCATAGTATTCATTGTCGGCCTGCCTGGGATGGTATGAATTCGTAGTTCGGAATTCATATTTCGGATGGACGATGGAGCAGGACCAAATGGAATCTGCAATACGAAAAGAGATGCCGTGCATTCCGGGAGGGTATATCCAAACTATTCCTTTTCAGAGAAGAGAATATACGTAGTGCAATGTACGTGATGCAGTCTACGTGTTGCAATTTATGTTGTGCAATAAACGTCGATCCATCTACGATGTGCAATTCATGTTTGTTCGTAGTAAGTTGTCCGCTTCACCCCGTGGGAGTTCAAAATCCAATTCTGTGTGGGGGGGCGGGCAGAACTTGCCCCTCCGGGGTCCTCCGGGTTTCCAGATCCATCTCCCGCGGCCTCCAAGATGCCCAAAACGCCCTCTAAACTGGCTCAAGCTGTGCTCCAACATGGAAAAGAAGCCTCAGAAACAGACAAGTGGGCCTCTAAACTTCCTGGCCTCTGAGACGACCCCCAAGAGGGCCCCAATAAGCAAAAATCGCCCCAATCCCAAGGAAAACCTATCAGAACGATGGTCTCAATAACGTCCAAGACGGGTCAAGACGCTTCCAAGATCGCTCCAGGAGTGACCAAGAAGCTCCCACGAGGGCCCCAAGACGGCCGAAGAGGGTCCAAAGACGGCCCAAGAGGCGCCCGAGATGGCCCGAATTGAGTTCCAGAAGGGGCCCAAAAGAGATAACCCGAACTGAAATTTCGAGCCCTCCGCCCCAAGAGGACATCCGAGACCGGCAGCAGGCGTCCGAGAAACTCCCAACGAGCCCAAAGAGGCTCCGAAGAGGCCCAAAAGAGTCCCCCAGAGAGTCCCAGAGAGGCCCCAAAGGCCCCAGCCGTGAACTTTCCCCCTCTTCTGGGGGTTGGCGGAATGGCGCAACCCTCGTGAGTAAACCACATTAACGAGCCATGAAGCAGGATCAGGCCGAATGAAGCCAAAGATTAAGCCAGATTAGACCGGATTAACGAAGATTTGGCGGAACCAGGCGGAACTACCATGGATTAGGCCAGATTCCGACCACAGATATACCAGCGCCGATGCTGAGTCTAACCTCCCAGGAATTACATCCTACATATTTTTCCTTCTCCGAGTGACCGCAGGGCAACCTCCAGGTCTTCGCCCGCGATCGCCCCAGTGCTCTTCTCGAGGAAGAAAACACTGCACGAACATGAACGCTCGGAAGTCCGCGCGGGTTTCCTGGATCTCCCCTCTTCTTCCTGACGAGCGGAGCGCGCCAGGGGCGGCGCCGGAGGCGTCGCCAGGGGCTGCCAATGCAGATCCAAGCAATCCGGGCGGACCTCCGAAACTTTCCTTTGCTCTGAGGTGGCGATCGTATCTTTAAACTGATGCAGTTTTTCTTCCTCGATCTTCGCGTCCAGCAGCGCGAATACCTCCTGCAGCACGGGATAGGCCGACCCCTATCCCCGACTCGTGGGGCTTCTCGAATGGACCAAACATGTCGGGCCCTAACAGGGGATGCACGATATGGGGTGTCCATCCTTAGGGGTAGCCCCGGTATCTCCGAGCTCCCCTCTCTTTCTGAGCAGCCTGGTTTTTCGCGTGGAAGTCGGGGATTGGGGGCGAGAAATCGACTGCGATCGACACACGCACACACACACACACACAAACACACTCAAACCTATAGGAAGGAGGAAGGTGTGAGATTGTCAGACCTCGAGGGGGGCTCCCGTTCGAGCGGGGACCCGCATCCGACAACACACACACACACAGCCCCGACAGAATTCCACCCAGGGAAATCTGGTTGGGGCCTCCCAGATGGGGCCTCCCAGGTGGATGGGGTCGAGGATCGCGCCGCATCGCCGATGCATCGCCTATGCACCGGCGATGCATTGTCGATGTCGGCGTGCATCGATGACGTCGACGTAGAACAACTCTGGCTCCACATTGAGCCACATCGCCGATGCATCGGCAATGTGGCGCGATCCTTCGACCTCACTATACTCGGACCACATGGGGGAGGCCGAGACCTGCGGGTCGCATAGGTCCCCAGACATGTGACGTCCTGATGTTTGTCAGTACACGGCCCAGGGAAGTCCCAACCCTTTGCCCCGGGACTGGCTTCTCATCCTGAGTTGATGTTTGACGGTCCCGGGGCCCGGTGAGAGCCCCGAGAGTGGCCGAAAACACGGACAAACCTCCCGTCCTGATTTTTCCACGACGCGGGCACTCGGGGAGACGTAAAACTTCGGGTTTGGGGGACTGGGGTTGGCCTGGCGAGGCCCGCAAGAAAATGGCGAGACCCAGTCTGAAATGTGGCGCGAATTCCTGCCGCAGACATCCTGCGAAAACTGAACCGTCAAACCCAGGACGGGCTCGTCAAAAGCGTCCGCAAACCTGGGTTCCAGCAAACTCGAGTCTTACGTTTCCCGGAAGCATGTCTAGGCCTGGGTGCTACTTGTCTTGAGCCGAGACCGACCGTCCATGCATTCCTGTAGGCCAGCCACGGCATGTTTTCAGAATGGAAGAATGTTCTGACAGCATAACCATGCTAGTCGAACATCACACCGATGTATTCAAATGGTCCTGGCATAAGGCCCAACAATATGCGATTGTGAATATCGTGTTGTGGGTACCGCTGTCGGTGGGGCTCCCTATTGGGTCACAACTCTCGTCAGGCGTGTGCCAAAATGGGCGGGGGGACGCATGCGGACCCTGCCACTGGGGCCTTCGGTAAGCTCAGTATGGGGCCACGATCCTCGCGAGGGGTGTGCCGAAATGGGCGGGGGGACGCATGCGGACCCTGCCGCTGGGGCCTTCGGTGGAGCTCCCTCTGGGGCCACGATCCTCGCGAGGGGTGTGCCGAAGTAGGCGGGGGGACGCATGCGGACCCTGCCGCTGGGGCCTTCGGTGGAGCTCCCTATGGGGCCACGATCCTCGCGAGGGGTGTGCCGAGATGGGCGGGGGGACGCATGCGGACCCTGCCGCTGGGGCCCCTGGTGCATGTGGTGCAAGCAACAAAGGACGCTTCGCCACTGCTTGACTGTCCGCTCGTGATCCTGCTGCTCTCCCGCGCGGCTCGAGCTCGCAGCCGCCGCGCTGCGCGCCGCCGGGCGGCCCCCGCAGCAGAGCGCCCTGGCGGCCGGCCAAGCCGCCCGCGAGCGCATAGCGCGGGAGGGGCCGCGACACCGCGACCCTTTGGCTCCGGGGGCGTCCAAAGAGGGGGGGCGCCCAAGAGGGGGGCTCCGAGGCATGTGCGCGGCCCAGGGGGGGGGGTAAAGGGGCAAGGGACGTGCTGAGATAAGAAGAGAGGCCACGAGATCCGGGGAGCTGCCCCAGCTAGGGTATCCCTCCTCCTCGTCATCTGCCCCCTCGTGGCCGCCCCCGATGACTCCCAGAGCTTCGACGGCGTGGCCCTGCCGAGCCTCGGCGAGGCGGCCTCTGAGTGGGGCCACGCCAGGTATAGACGGAGCCAGGACGAGGATACCATCGGGTGCGGATAAGACGGGAATCCCTGAGATCCGGAGGCTATGGAGGTTGTCTCAGGCGCCGCGGCCTTCTCAGAGCGTTCGGGAACGCACTGAGAGCGTTGCGGAAAGCTCTGGAACGGGTTCATCATCGTCCTAGCCCCGTCCGACCAGAGCTCTGACGGCGTGGCCCTGCGAGGCGGTCCCTGAGTGGGGCGACGCCAGGGCCAGTTGTTGCCCGAATGTGGCTACCGTTGCTCCGGATCCCCCTCCACACCTCCTCCTCCCTCCCCCTGCTCCTCCTCCTCCCTGGCCCCTCCCACTCCTATGATCCTTCCAGTTCCGAGGATAGGCAAGCGCGTTCCACTACTCGCAAAGTGACTGCTCGCAAATGGCCTGGATTCGCCGTGGAAGATCTACGATAAATTACATCGAAGCAGGCATGTGTTTTTCGGACGTTTGCGAGTAGGCACTTTGCGAGTACTGGAACGCGCTCGGTGAGAGGAGGAAGAACAAAAACTGCATGGACGTAAACTTTCGACGGTGCGCGCAGATTTCTCGGATCGGCGCTGGGCTCCCCTGTCGGCGCCTCTGGCGCCTGCCTCTGACGCCGCCCCTGCGAGCTCCGCGCGCCAGGGAGGGAGACCCAGCGCAGATCCAGGAAATCCGCGCGGACCGCCGTCGAAAATATGCGTTTATGAAATTGTCCTTCTTGGAATCCGCGATGTGTCCCTCTCGGGCCCGTTCTTAGGCCCCGAGGCAATAAAAAATTGGAGCGGGGCGAAAAACTACCCTCTGGAAGGGGTTGGGACCTGTTGGGACCGGAGGTTGAAAACATCACATAGGCCGACGTCAGGCTTGGCAGGCGCGCGCAAAGGAGTGGCACGAGGGGGGCCGGTCTTCTAAGGAGGCGAGGTGCCTCTAAGCAAGAGGGGCCCTTCTCAGAAGGCAGCTCATCCTCGCTCCTCGCTCATCCTCCTCCTCGCTCCTCCCCCTCCCCTCCCCATCTCCCTCCTCGTCCTCGCTCCTCCTCCTCCTCCTCCTCCTCCTCATCCTCCTCCTCGCTCATCCTCCTCCTCCTCGTCCTCCTCCTTGTCCTCCTCGCCCCTCATCCTCCTCGTTCTCCTCCTCGTCCTCCTCCTGCTGAGAAGGTCGCTGTCTCCCTGGAAGGCCGCGCCCGTCGCGCCGCCAACTGGGTCCTGCCCTGGCGCCCTGGGCTCGCGGGCAAGAAACGGGGCGTATGATTTTTGGCGGTGGCGGAGAGCTCTGCAGAGGTCGGGTGAGAACTGCACCAGGCGACCTATCCCCTCTACGTAGTGGGGATGGGCATGGCACTAGACATCCCACTGGAGCGGGGAGAAGGTCGGCCTCTGAGGTGGGACCCCCCGGGGGGAACTGCGGTGAGGACACTGGGAAAGGCACCCTCGGGTAAGGAATACAGGGTCTCAAAGCCAATGGACCACCGGTTGAGGATTTCCAATGGGTATCAGCGGCGCCCTCATCAAACAAGGAACCCTTCAGGGTCTGAGGCCTCCTGGGCACACTCCTTCACGAACGTCCCCACCGTATCAACAAAAAACGGCTTAGGATGAAAAGCCGATCACCAGGAAGGGAAGGGGTCCAGACCTCTCTGGAGTCATGTTGTGAACAAGGTCACAGCGACGGATGTCTGGCCGCCAGCACCTTGAACGCAGACCTTCACCTTGAGGCAAAACGGCTATAGGGGCCACGGTGCAACGATGTTGAATCTTGAACATAGAACGCCAACGAACGCGCCCGTCCCGAATCTGGCCATCGGAATCGCAATCTGGTGAACCAGTTGCACAGAGCACGAATCGAAATGAAATCCTGAGCCTCACGGAGGCTGACAATCTTTAGCCATTAGGGGGCCTCCCCAAAATGGAACTCACAAATAAGGCATGCGCTAAGACCCAGGCGCTCCGAGTAAACAGAATTTCCTCAGCAGCGACTCGTTTGCCTCAAGCTCGCACGGGCCACATGTGTTGTGCGCAGCGCCGTCCAATGTCACCAGAGGGAATAGCTTCTGACACACACTCTGCTGTTGGCCAGGCCAATTCTGGAAGCTTTGTTGACCTTGCTTCCGTTCCATCACGGGCCTCTGCAAGCCATCTTGAGCGGCAACGCGCCTACGAACACTACCCAATGACGTACCCAACCCATCAAAAAAACATGCACGCATAAATGGGGTTACGGCCAGGAATGGTTGCTTCGCGTGTCGCGGCGGCGGCCCGGCGACACGCTATACCCTGCAAGCGGATAGCGTGTCGCTCCGATCCGCAGGGCGGGAGGCTGGCAAAGTCTCAGAACATTGACGCTAGGGAACCAGGACGTGGTTAGCGTTTCGAGCGTAAGTGCGGTGGACCTGAACTGGCGGAGTGACACGCTTAGCCAAAGTCCCTGACCGTATCGCAAGTCTGGCAGTAACATGACAAGGGACGCGATCTGTTGCGCAGACTACTCAGGGGTCATATACGCTGCATGATTCACGGGACCGGTGTGATATATAATCTTAGAGCATGAAAAGAAGGGAAGACAACATGACAACGATGTCAAAGAGAAGGTAAAGATAGCAGGTGAAAGGTACGTCGGCAAAGAGGAAGAAGACGATGCCAAGGGAGGCGAGGTCTGGTATGGGTCTCCTTAGCACCGCGTTCCGCTGGCCCCCCCAGCAACTCACGAATGTGGCGCTGGTTCCGCAGTTGGCAGCCCCCAGGGAGGCTCCGTCAGCTCCGCACTACAATAAACCTCCCACGATCTCACGAGAGTGGCGACATTTGCACATCAGGCGAGCCATGGTCCCTTTACCTCAGCACGCCGCTGAACCCCCAAGAGCTCACGGAAGTGGCGGAAGTGGCGACAGCTGCGACGTTGGCAGCCGCCAGCGAGTCGAGGCAGAACCCAAAAAACATTGCGGAACGCAAGGGAAATCAAAGACGTTGGCTTCTCGGAGCACTCGTCTGGAGCCTCGGGCGCCCACTAGAGCTTGCCCGGGGCCGTCCTGGCGCCTTCTGGAGGCCTCCGAGCTTAATGGGGCGAAAGACTCGAACTTTCGGTTCATGCTCCCCCTCTTGAGCCCATATCGGGGCCGTCTTTAAGGCCGTTTGGGCCTTCTCGGGCGCCTTTGGAGGCGCCATGGGGCCCTGCTGGGCCGTCCCGGGGCCCTCCTGGGGCGCTTGGCCCGTCCTGAGGCGGTGTTGAAGGCCTCTTGGACCGTCGTGGATTGTCAGAATCTTGAAAAGCAGAGGGTCCCGAAAAAATGAGAAGACCAAAGGGAAATCAAAGATGTCTACCTCTCGGGCTACGTTTCTGGGTCCTCGAGCGCCCACTGAAGCCTGCCAGAGGCCGTTCAGAAGGCATCTTCGGCGCTCTCGGGGTGTGATAGACCCAGTCTGGTAGACTGTCGCACCAAGTTGTGGGCCGATGCCACTTTGGAGCCACGAGGGCGACGCCGGAGCCCCAGGGGCGGCCATGTGTACCCGGGGCCCGTCCCAGTCACGCCCGCGGCCTACTCCGATACACACATGTACATGTATATGTGTGTGCCTGCGTGTATGTATGCATGTGTATATATACATAAATACAGACATACACACATACATGCACACAGCCATACAACACACACTCCTCAGAATACGGATGGTAGCACTGGCAATTCTACTACTGCCAGCCGTAGTAGTAGTAGTAGTAGTAGTAGTAGTAGTAGTAGCAGTAGTTAGTAGTAGTAGTAGTAGTAGTAGTAGTAGTAGTAGTAGTAGTAGTAGTAGTAGTAGTAGTAGTAGTAGTAGTAGTAGTAGTAGTAGTAGTAGTAGTAGTAGTAGTAGTAGTTAGTAGTAGTAGTAGTAGTAGTAGTAGTAGTAGTAGTAGTAGTAGTAGTAGTAGTAGTAGTAGTAGTAGTAGTAGTAGTAGTAGTAGTAGTAGTAGTAGTTAGTAGTAGTAGTAGTAGTAGTAGTAGTAGTAGTAGTAGTAGTAGTAGTAGTAGTAGTAGTAGTAGTAGTAGTAGTAGTAGTAGTAGTAGTAGTAGTAGTAGTAGTAGTAGTAGTAGTAGTAGTAGTAGTAGTAGTAGTAGTAGTAGTAGTAGTAGTAGTAGTAGTAGTAGTAGTAGTAGTAGTAGTAGTAGTAGTAGTAGTAGTAGTTAGTAGTCGTCAAAATAGTAGTACTAGTAGTAGCAGTAGTAGTAGTAGCAGGAGTAGGAGTAGGAGCAGGAGCAGAAGTAGTAGCAGTAGCAGTAGTAGTAGTAGTAGTAGTAGTAGTAGTCGTAGTAGTAGTAGTAGTAGTAGTAGTATAGTAGTAGTAGTAGTAGTAGTAGTCGTAGTAGTAGTAGTAGTAGTAGTAGTAGTAGTAGTAGTAGTAGTCGTCGTAGTAGTAGTAGTAGTAGTAGCAGTAGTAGTAGTAGTAGTAGTAGTAGTAGTAGTAGTAGCAGTAGTAGTAGTAGTCGTCGTCTTAATCTTAGTTCCAGTACTAAGTAGTACTAGTAGTACTAGTAGGTAGTACTAGTACTACTAGTAGTCGCCGTTGCAATCGTAGAAGCAGGAGTAGTAGCAGCAGCATCAGCAGCAGCAGTAGTAGCAGTAGTAGCAGGAATAATATCAGTAGTAGTAGTAGTAGTAGTAATAATAGTAGTAGTAGTAGCTGTAGTTGTAGTTGTAGTTGTAGCTGTAGTTGTAATAGTAGCCGTCGTA